TTTTGGACAAAAAAATCGCAATATATCACAATATATTGCCTTGCTTACAGTATCGCAATATATCGGGATATATCGTATCGTGACCCTCTGTTATGATATGTATCGTATCGCCAAATTCTTGCCAATACACAGCCCTAGTTAGGTGGACATTTTTTCCTGTTAAACTTCCTGTATGGATTATTAGAAGACAGTTAGAAACAGGTCGGTGAACTGGTTGAACAGTTACTGCAGATCAATCCTGCTAAAAACAAACAACTAATTTCCTGGAAATGAAGTGAGAGGTCCAACATGTTGACAGGACAGGTTAAAGCTGAAGTGACATCAGAACAGAACCACTGTTTGCCTGCTACARCAGGTTCAAAAGGAACATTTTCCAGGTCCGTTTGACATCTCACAGTCAGAGGCCTACCCTGGATAGGAGGAGATACATCTCCAGCTCGGCCACGCGTCGACCCAAACAGGCCCGGATCCCAAACCCGAACGGCACCGACCCGAACGGGTGCTGCTTGAACTTGTCGTCCCCTCCTCGGAGCCAGCGCTGCGGCAGGAAGGTGTGAGGGTCGGGGAAAATGTTCTCGTCGTAGGACACGGCGTAGTGGCACAGGTGGAAGAGCGTCTGTCAATAAATAAATAAATAAAAACTATAAAACGTGTCACAACTTTCAGATTTATCAGAATTAAGTCTACAGTTAGGGTTGATCTACAAGGTAAAACGTTGCTTTATTTAGCTTGGAACCCCATTTTTACCTGACAAACATGCTAAAACACTGACAAACATTTTTTGGTGAAGTCTGACAGATAAAGTGAAACCTGGAAGTAAACGTACAAAAACCTTTCACACAAACAGGCTTGTTTTTATTTTATTTCATTTTTACTAAAGGTTTGGACCAACGTTGTATTGGTTCAAAAAATAAATAAATAAAACCTACAAACAGCCCATATGTCACGGTCATTAATGATGTATTTCCATAAAGTTCTTGCCACGCTCCTCCCTTCCACTTCCTGCTTACTGCCTATGTTTTTACCATTAGCTGCTAGTACTAGTCCGTAAAAAAGTCACAAAAGTTAAAGCATCTGTGATCTACTGGTATAAAACATGAGTTTTGTTGTGTGTCGTTGTGTCCATTAACCAGCAGGTACAATAGAGGAGTTAGTTTTTATCCTTTTTCCTCTTGATGAGGAGGTGACAGCTGTGGATCACAGCATTACAGGGAAAACTTATCTTTAAAAGCTCAGGTTGTGTTTGTAATCAGCATTTCTAACCTGAGGATATTCAAGAGTCAGCATCAGAAATGAGAAGAYGGAGGTTACAAAAGAGAAATGTACATTTATCCCCTTTTACTGCCAAGAC